TCCCATGGCCACATTTTCCCATAGAGCACCAGATAGAAGGTGACAGAAATAAGGAGAAATGATTCAAATTGCTAGAGAACACCCAATGACTGCGTGTAGATGGGGTGATACATTAGGAATCAAAGAAGCCCTAGAGTTTTTACTCACCCACTAAACTCTCTCCTGGTCCTTGCAAAGTACACCAGTGATACATGAAAGACTATAGGTGAACAGGAGCACTGAGGAGCCCCCTTAGATACATAGAACCTCCCATATGTGCAGAAAGGTGTTCTGAAGATAGGAGACAGAACACATAGTGCAAGAAACTGACTTCTTAGAGGACTCAGGCACCTGTGCTCTGAAGGTTGGGGACAGAGTAGCTGGGAAAGAATGGTTTCTCAAAGCTCAGCTGAGGCACAGAACCGGACACAGAGCAACCCATGGGGCTTTCTGAGATGCCAGAAATGTGCTACCGCTTGTTCAGATGGTGGCTGCATGTTAAAACCTTTCCAAAGACTACTTTAGAGATCTATATTTTTTCAAATGCCTCAGTTTAATAAAATACAAAACAAACAAAGTATCTGGTATACTAGCTGATCTTTGGAGTTGAGTGTGAAGTCTGACCTTTCTGTGAACTGGATCCTGGAAGCCAGCAGATCTTAGGTCCTCATTTGTATACAGTGTGCAACCTCTGCAGCTGCTCTCAATGTGCTTCTGGGTCCTTCTAAACTATTCTGTTTGCAGATTAAAGGGGAATGCCAAGTGAAAAATGTATAGGAAAACTGGCCAAAGTGAGAAGAATTAAAGACATAGTAGTTCCAATGGTAAATGGAAATGCTGAAAATTCTCCCTTGAATGTCCCTCTTTTACTACTCTTCCCCTCTAAAACATACCACAGAAGAAGAAAGCTTGTCTTCATGCTAATGAAGCTGAAGAACAAAGACCTTCTTCCCTCTGACAGTGTGCTCTCAGGGCATTGTGAGATGGAGGCTTGCTGGCCTGGGGGCTGCATGTCACTGTTACTGCGCTTTCTCTTATAATCTAATTATGGATGAAAAGGAAAGAGGAAATTAAGTCATGATGACTGTGTGTGCAAGGTAAGGTTCAGGGTAACAGAGTTGGCCTGGTCAAGGAAACAGCAGCCTGCAGAAGTGGTAGCTTCTTCTTCCCACTAACTTCTGAGTTGTGGAGGCAGCTTGGCCTCATGGAGAGATAATAATACCCACATAGAAGAAAGTAATGGCAGTAACTAACAGTGGCCAAGAGATGACTACATGCCAACCAAGAGCTAGTGCTGTCTATTGATTGTACCCTTATGACACCTATGAGGTAAGTACTTATCATCACCATGTTGGACAGGTCACTGAAGAGCAGCCCTATCCTCTGAGGTCATAGAGCCCTGAGGTTGAAGCCAGGACTGACTCAATGACTCACTGAATCCTAAGTCCTTCTACGTAAAGCACTATCCACTTCCACAAAGGAAATAAGGCCAATTCTAGAGTTAGGAAGCCCAAAGTTCAAATCCAAGTTTGACCATAATGGTGATATGACCTTGAGAAGTAAGCTACCTTTCCAAGCCTCTGGTTCATATATAAAATAGAGGTAACATCTACTAATCTATCAAATTACTGTGATAATTATAGAAATTAATGAAAAGATCCTGTCACCTAATAGGTGTTCAATGGTAGTTGTTATTGATGATGATGTCACATTACTTCTATCACTGGTTTCTGGATTTTTAACCTACATCATTCATGGGTACCACATGTGCACATGTATTCACCCATGTACAAAGTACACATGGAGGTACTGCTGTGAGTGAAAGAGGAGAAATGGAAATGAAAGGTAGAATAAAAGTTGTCCTTCATGACCATACTAATGTACACACACACACACACACACACACATATGCATGCACAATTTCTTTCCCTGGAGGTGTAGAACATAGCACCTTAACATTTTAATTAAAGTATGTAACAGATACACACGAGGGACCTCTTATGCTGGAATACTGAGCGGCCATAAGACTGAAAAGGCAAACATTTCAATATGAAAACACTGAAACAGATAGTGGACTAGTAATAGTACAGGTCTCAGAACCACTCAGACTTCTGTTCAAATCTTTGTTCTACAAATATATGGCTATTTGACCTAGGGCAAAAAAGATTATTTATCTTCTGAAGCTTCAGTTTCTCTTATCAATAAAATGGATCTAACTGTGTCAGGTACTTTGTGCTAATGATTACAATACATATTAGAACATGTGATAATACTATGTATAAAACATCTGGTTTCTAGTATACATGCTCTATAAATGGTAGACAAACTAGAATTACTATTGCTATGTCCTCTATGGTAGCCCTACCGGAAGTCACTGTGAAGCCTTGTAGTCCTAGAACTCTGGAAGTCTGAGGCAGGTGGATCATAAATTTGACCACATCCTGGACAACTTAGTGATTTTTTTTTCCTTAGATTCTTTTATTGGTACATTTTAGGTATACGATCCATTTACATTTATCATTGGGTGCTTGCACCTGTACATGATGTATCTTGGTTCTTATTTTTTCCCTATTTCCTGTCCTCCCTTCACCCCCTCCACTCCTCCCAATTTACAAAGACTTTGTTTCCATTTTTTCCATTTCTCATAATTTTTCCTTTCCCTTCTTTCCTTTCCCCTACCCCTCCCACTTCTCCTACCCCTTTGGACCTTTT